CCAGCAGAGATCGTAAAGGCTAAGGCAATCGATAAAGATTGAAATGAGACAATGGATTTAGTAACATCCTTGTTAACTAACTACTGAGACTTGCTTCATCTTCATTTGCACTTCTTAATTTCGTGTAGAATCTATGTCAGGAGCTAGCGTTGGATAAAGCTAAAAGCTGCTGAACAACACGAATTATTCAGTCTACCAGCTTTTTACCAGTCTTTTTATTCTACAAGGGAATCTTCTTGAGCCTGAGCCCAGTTCTGAAAATTTAGGAAGCCAGAACTTGTTATTGCCTTATTCAACCTTAGTGGTCTCTGGTTCAAATTTAAATGATGCCTTTTTGCCTAGGCTCAACAGTTTGTAAGACTTCCTCCTGTGTATACATACAGCTTATAGATAATAAGTGGAATATTTGATGCTCTACACTACTTTCAGGTCATTAAAATAAAGAAGCATATAAATTATCCCAGCTGCCCTGGGATTCTGTAGTTGAAATAAGATAAAGGACTCTGTTTAGCTATCTGTGTAAAGTAAATATAACTTGAGAATTTTTTAAAAAGTAAACACAGGCATCAAAACTGAAAGCAAGAGACTCTTGAAAATACGGACTGGTATATCATTGGTTAGAATTTCCTTCATTTTGCAAAGCCACGAGCCACATGCATCAGCTCACCACAAAGTCATTAAGCCTTTTTAAGCTCAGATGAAAAACATTAACAAATACCACAAAAGGCTTTAGTATAGCCCCTTTGTTCATTCACATATGGCACTTTATAACTCCTGCGCCACTCCGGTCGTGTGTTTGTTTAAGCTGCCTCCATCAGGCTGGTCCTGAAAGAACAAAAGACATCTTGAGCAATCCTAAGCAGGAAATGGGCTAATCTAAACATGGTTTGTGACACTTTAAGTAGAATAGAAAGGGGAGGGATTGATTAGTCATTAATGTCCAATTGGCTCCATATGTATGTTGCAATAATAAAGCCCCTTTTCAGAGCAGTAGCAGAGTTATTGAATTAGAGGTTTATGTTTCCTCAGAGCTGACCTTAGGGAATTCCCTTTGGTTCCTCTTGTTGATCTTTTAAAGAGAATGGAGTCTCTAATAGAAAAAAATAGAAGTCTTATCCACAATAACACTTGCTCCTAATCCTGTAACCAAGGAATGCATTAATTTAGCATTGTTTTAATCCCAGCTATAACTTTAGTCCTTACTGCTTTCTTTACATCCCTTGCATCTTTGGTGGAGCAGTATTTCAGAGACCAATTAGACAGTGGCATGAACTTCAAAACTGGTAATGGGCTCTTCTAATGTGCTTAGCTGGGCAGGAAAGTGGCATCCTTAAAGTGGGAAAGTAATGTTCCAGCCAAGAAATGGTGGGCTTTGAAATTCAGTGTTATTTCAGATTGCCGAATAGTGACTGGGGTAGCTTTGGTGTGGGGGAAATGTACTAGGCTGAAAGTCAGAAGATTCAGGTTCTAGATCTGGCTATGCTCCATATTACCAGCAACTGGTTAATCAGGGGAAGGTGTTATCACCTTTCTGAGTCTTGCTTCCCTCATCTATAAAGTGGGTTAAAAGATGTCTGCCTTCCTACCCATTTTAAAAGATTGTAATGAGGATGAAGATATTGTAATTAGTGAAAGCACTTTGTAAATATTATTTTATGCAAAGTTACTTAGCACACCTGACGTGTCTATCCTAGAAACTCACCTCTGACCTAGAATATCAAAAAGGTAAATTGCTCTTTAAAGAAATACATTGGTACTCTGATTAATGAAATGTTTGTTTCCAGCCGAGTGCAGTGGCTCACGCCTGTAACCCCAGCACTTTGGGAGGCCAAAGCAGGCAGAACATTTGAGACCAGGAGTTCAAGAGCAGCCTGGCCAACATGATGAAACCCTGTCTGTACTAAANAAAAAAAAAAAAAAAAAAAAAAAAAAAGGTCACTGCTGTAGTTGATCACGTATCCGAATAAATTTTAAAGTGTTTCAAGCTTTGGCCTCCCTGAGTAAATCTATATTTCCCAAATCTTGGTTCATCTGATACAACATTTCTAGTTTAGCTTAGGATGTCCCCATTCATTTTGTAGTTCACTCCTTCTGGAAGAGAGACGAGGTGATGCACATGTGATCTAAAGAATTTTCTATTCTTCCCCTTCTTAATTCATGTTTTTGTTCTGTGCACTGTGCTTGAATTTTTCAACTTCTGGAAGCGTTACATGTGAGTCCCAGAGACCTACTGTGTAATCAATTCCTTGTCCTTCAGTTCCTGAAGACAATCTGTGATGTAGGAGGAAAGGAAAAGGTTAGAGCAGGCTAGAGGTCAGACTTGAGCTCTGTTCCTTAGAAAAAGGTAGAAATTAATAAAGTAGAAGAGTGTAGTAAGGATATGTGAAGACTGTGGCAGGGTTAGGGTTAGAGTGAGAGACTGGGCAGATGTATGGCATATCTGGGAGAATCAATTGGTATAGAGTAGAGAATCTAGGATGTTTATACTAAAGCCAGCATCTAAAAATTCACCATGATCTCTCCCAGTCTTTAGGATAGTAAAACTTCCCATTTACAATGAAATACATATTTTAAATGAAGAAATAAATGGAAGCTGCCTATTTGGTTTTGCCAGACGTGGAGAGAAAGCTACAACAATAAAAGCAGGTCTCAAATGTTAATCACCTGTGGCATAGTAGTTAACTTAGAATAATATTGAAATGTTTTTGCATCTGATATTCTCCACAAACCTGTCTCCTTTTATGTGAATGCATGTCAGTATATAAATTGCTAAATCCATGTCAGTTGTAAAGTAATGGCACTGAGGGCATCATAAATTACCATGGTGATCCTCAGGAGAAGACACTGTCGTATCTGAATGAGTGTTTCACTTCCAGAGTAATGTATGCCTTCATCTGGCCCAGCAGTCAGCATATTGCCCTGTGTTGATGGATATTGTCAGCTGGAAGCTACACTACATTTCACTGCACAATAAACATGGCTGTCAAACCCATATAAAGTGAAATCAATTTATCCTGTATGGTCAGTGCATTTTAAATGAAATTAATGTACTGTGGGTATGGTGGCAAAAAGGTATCGTATTAGTTATGCATCTTGGGATCTAAGACTTTTCATGTAAACGATCATTCTGTCTAGTAGGCCTAAAAGAAGGGCTGTTTATAAAATATGTTATTTCTGCACAATCTTCAGAAAGTAGCCTTTCTGCCCTCCTTCTTGTTTAGAAAAAAATTCATGTTAGCTAATCCCACCCCTTTATACTGCCTTTTGTTTGCAGTAAATGATGACCATATTTGCTAAATAATAGTTCACTATAATGTTGTAATTTATTACTGGCTTTGACACAAATTTCTACTTAACCAACGTATCTAAAAATAGAGTCGAAGGGCCAGAGATTGATTGAATCATGTTGGTCCTGTATAATAACTTCACTGAGCAGAAAGGGTTTACTTTTTTCAGAAAATAGAAATGTTGGTTTTATTGTGTATTTTGCTTCTAAACTTCTGAGTGTAGGCATTCCTGTTATGTGGTAGAAGCCTTGTCTGAGGCTACCAGTTTGACCACTTTACCTTTAATTATAGAAGTTCTCAATCTACGGGAGATATTCAGGAGTTGCCATATCACAAAGTATACATCAGCATATCACCCTAGTAGGGTGCATGAAAACAAGCAAGAGCCATGTTCATTCATTCATTTATTCATTCAGTCATTCATTAATGTAACACATTTTGCTAATTGAAATCCTATGTGCCAAGTACTTCATTGAATCCTAGGAATACAGCAGTTAATGAGACCCAGCCCTTGCTCTGTCTTCAAGGAGCTTTCATCTAGTATGTTGCTACAGTCAGCTCTTTGGAAATTATAAAACGTCAGGAATTTAGGCATAGTTTCATAGATGTTAAAGAACTACCCTTAAACAACAGAAAAAATAGATCAGCAATCTTGAAATAAATGCCTCTAAATCTACGACTTTTGCATATGAGGTGAGAACCAAATAATCTTTGTTTAATGAATATTTTATTATATATTATGTGGGAAATCCTGAGGATACAAGAATGAGTACAGCATAATCACTAAATTTAGGTATCTCATATTTCTGAGAGGAGTGGAAAGGAGGGAGCATGTCTATGGGGCATGTCTCCTGAAAGCAAGAGGAGTGAGTGCAGCCTGGGGAGCATCATTGCAAATGCTGTTCCTTTAGCCTGAATTACCCTTCCCATCTGGCCTTACTCCCTCTCCCACTCACCTGCTGATTCCTATTTGTTCTTCAAGACTCATTTTAGGCATCACATCTCCTAGGAAGCACTAGCTGACCATTCTGTCTGGTGCTGTTTTGGTGCCCTTTTATTGTCAATATTGTAGCCCTCTCACCTCCTTTGTTATAATCATCTGTCCTTACTCTGAACTGTGACTCCTTTAAAGCTTGAGCTGTTATATTTACCATGGTCTCCTTAGCACCTGGTATAAAACCTAGGTTATAGTAATTGTTCAATTAATATTTTTCATTGAATTAATTCATTCAATCATGAAACATGTCAACATTGAAGGATGAATGGGATTTAGCATGAAAGAGTAGGAGAGGGGTCTTCTAGGCAATGAAAAGAGCACAGGTCAAAACCATATTGTGAAAAAGAATTCTGTTTGTAGGAAACATATAGAGTGGTTGTGATCTGGGGCAAACAAGTCTAAAATGACAGGTAAAAGCATGCTTTTGAAGAAAGGAATTACAGCAGCAAAGTTTGCCATAAGGTAATGTCATTCACTGCTGTATCATCACCTAATATTGATTGTAGTAAATGTGGTAAAATTAATTCTTAGTATGTTTTTGAGGGCTACATCAGAAAAGCCTATAGAATTTGTCATTTGAACCTGCCTTCTACTTCCAAGAAATCACTTAGAAAATAAGAGGAGGACCTGAGGAAAACAGCTGATCCAAGCTGTGTGACATTATCCACATAATAACGCTTTCCACTCATCTTGTTCTTCCTGCCCTGACATTACAGGAAGTAAAGCAATGAATGGCTCTGCAGCTAAACTACAGCAGTATTATTGTTGGCCAACAGGAGGTGCCACTGTGGCTGAAGCACGAGTCTACAGGGATGCCCGTGGCCGTGCCAGCAGTGAGCCACACATCAAGCGACCAATGAATGCATTCATGGTTTGGGCAAAGGATGAGAGGAGGAAAATCCTTCAGGCCTTCCCCGACATGCATAACTCCAACATTAGCAAAATCTTAGGTGAGTTCTGAAGCACAGCTAAAGCTGATCTTCTCCCCCGTGAGTCCCATGAGTGCCACCGGGTTGGGAAGCAGGGGCGTAACTAAGATCCTAAGGGAGACTAGGGGGCACAAGTTAGATGAAGATCAGCCAGCTGCCACTGGAGACTTTGTCATCATGTCTGCCTCCCCCACCCCACAACGTGGCATTTAGGTTTGGGAGTTATATCCACCAGGTGCCAGGGCAGCACTGGCTAAACACTTATTTTAGGGACAAAACTATTTATAGTATGTGTTAATACTGGGAATTTAGCAACTCTTGAGAGGTCACAGGAATCATGGAGACAAGCTTTATCTCTTTTTACTGTGCAGTTCTCTTAAATTCATACATTGCTATGAAATACTCGTAGACCCTACGGTTTTCTGCTTTAATGTTCTTGGGTTCATATATCCCACTGAAAGAATTCATCAAGGACTAGAAACCCAAAATGGTGTGAAATTCATGGAGTGCAGAACAGTGTCTCTGATGATCACTTTAAAACTTGTAAAATAAATCTACATTTATTTTAATAAGATATGACTAGTTCAAATTTCATAGCAGTGAGCTGAACACATGAACCACAGGGCAGTGGCCCACTTTGTGGTAAATTGCCAGAGTGATTCTCTATTTCTCAGGATTAAACTCAAGCCTTGTTCTGTTAGTACAGAGCTTGCCTAGTGCAGATTGTACAGTTTGGAGTTATTGTACTCAACATGTTAAACATATTTTATTCAACATGCAGCATTACAGTCAACATGTTTCCTCTTTAAAAAGGAAAAACACAGAAGGCACTGTTCTACTTAAGCTGTCACGATGTGACAGAATCTCAAAGGAAGCCATTTAAGAAGCTGAAAAACATTAGAGACTTAAACTGTGGTTTTAATTTTTTAAATGTTTTGTTCAAAAGTAATAAATATTTAACCTGAGTAAATATCAGTGATCTGGACATGCACAGATACACATGTTTTGTCACTGTATAAATAATTTAACTTGATTCTGAGGCATTTTGAGGCAGTGACCTCTAACAAAAATTTAAAATATACATAAGCTCAAATACTAGTGAAATGTTAAAAAATGTTTTTCTTTTTTTTCTTTTGATTTTCTACTTTCAAAATGAATACTAAATGTCATTACAATTAAGTTTGGTTTTTATTTTTAGAGCTTCAGAGTTATGCATAGGGATGTTATTCTTTTGAATGTAAATACCTTTCAAACCAAAAGTTCCTAATAGACACATTTTTTTTTCTAGTAAAACAACATTCTAAAAGAGAAAAAATTAGGCTTTTCTGGCTTTACAGTTTTATATCTAACTTTGAGATTTTCGTATTTTTCTGCACTTTTAGTATCAATATGTGTTAGCTTTCAGATAGGCACGGAAACTCTGTTTCCATTTTGGCAGCTGTGGGGAATCTATATTATTGGTGTACATTCTGTGAAAAAATTAATAAGAATATAGTAAGTATGTTCATTAAAATGTAAACTTTTAAGCGCAAACATTTCAAGAGCACCAAGAATTCTTTGTTAATTGGGGCTTTAAGCTGCTGGAAGCCAGCAGAACACAGAGAAACCTATCTGCATAGACCATCTACACAACTTTTGCACAACAATCAGGAAAAAGCAGGGTTGGATGTGCTATTAAAGCAGACCAGGATATTGCTGGCTGCAGAGAGTATTTGTACAACTTTTCCATTTGTTTATGTATGAAAAATCTCCACTGAAGAATAGCTAACATCCAGTCTGCACAGCTGTTACCGCTTTATTCACCAGCGAGACACAAAAATGCAATTTGATACATGTAAAAAAACACATCCCCTCTTTCTCAAGTGTTTAGATAATTCTTTATAAACAATATTAGAGAAGTGAATACTTATCCTTCTTCCTGTATAAACCGTATTAAAAATTTTTATACTTTTATTGGTACAGCTTTGAATGAGCGTTTATAGTACTTGAAAGTGGTATATATAATTCCAAAGGTATCTTCCGGTTCTAAAGCTATAAATTCTTAAGTAGAGCTTAGTTTTTTTAATTACCTAGGCCAGGGGTGATGTGTACACAGTAGTTTTTTATATATGGAATGATTTCAACATCTGCTGACATCTTGTCAAATGATAGTTTTGCTAAAGATAGTTGGAGTTTGGGAGATGTTTGGATTTCTAGGACCAAGAAAGCTTTTCCTGAGAATTGTATCATGCTCAAAAGTGTGCTTAGGAGGTTTAGCCTTTTAAGCTTGTTGAGAGGATAGGCATGTGGATGGGAAAGACCTTGGTGTAGGGAATGATCTTTAAGCAGCAAAGATATATTTTAAAACACTATAGTAGCATCAGTCTTAAACTATTGAGAGAAATAATACAAGAAAGTATGATATGCAAAATTGTTCTTTGCACTGTAGTCTAAAAGTCTAGGTGGGAGGGCCAGTGATACGTGGTAACTGGAGCCACCCAGCACACAGATGAGTGAAGTGGTCTGAAGGTATATCTAATTGTGTTTGCCTGGAATATGTTGCCTTGACTACTTTGGTACTTAAGCCTATTTTTATTTCTAGGATCTCGCTGGAAATCCATGTCCAACCAGGAGAAGCAACCTTATTATGAAGAGCAGGCCCGGCTAAGCAAGATCCACTTAGAGAAGTACCCAAACTATAAATACAAACCCCGACCGAAACGCACCTGCATTGTTGATGGCAAAAAGCTCAGAATTGGGGAGTATAAGCAATTGATGAGGTCTCGGAGACAGGAGATGAGGCAGTTCTTTACTGTGGGGTAAGTATCGAATTTGGCCACCTGGGCCTTTCTTTTGCAGTAAGTAACTGCAGGATGGCTACCGGCAGTATGTTTGGGAAGGATATTAGAGAAGGAGGAGGTTGTGACATACTGAAGGGGCTTGGCCATGAGAATCTTTGCTGTGTCATCGGGGCACAGTCTTGCACCATGGCTCCTATGCAAATTAAGCCAAACCTGGAACAGCTCACTCTCAGCTGATCACTCCTGTCATTGTCTCCCCAGCCAATTTAAGATGCTCAGTGCCCACACACAGAGTTTCTGGTAGTTTATTTAAGCAGACATAGAGAGGAAAAAAAATCAAAACTAACCTTAAGAAATCCCCAGAAGCTTTCCAGCTTCTCTGGGTGTGCTTCTGACTCTAATCACAATAGTCTGCTTTTGTTGTGGGATCTACCACAAGATAATTGGCCTTGACATTGGTTAGAGGACTTCATTTTTGGCATAAGATCCAGAACTCCTGTTGCAGTAAATTACTGTGTGGTAGGAGAAGTAACAATGTGTATTTTCTTGCTTAAATCAGAAACTAGACATGCTTTTGATATCTTCAAGTCTGATTTCATGTCATTTTGTTTAAAAATTAGGTAATAGATTTCTGGTATAAGTTTCGACTTGGCTGACTGGCTGTCTGCATTCAAAAGAGGCCCCTCATAACCACAGTAGTCAGGATAAGCGGGGATGCAGACGACTGTAGATTCTGGCATATCCAGACCTAGAAGCATAGACGGGTGGCAAACCCAGAGGGCCATTTGAGGCACAGACATGAAGCAGCTGTACTCAGAGTAGGGAAACACTTGAGAAACAGCTTGAGAGAGAGAAATGGAGTAAGCAAGAGGGAAGCTGCATTTGCTGTGAACTTAGAGGAGAATTGAGGAGCTGTGCTGTGCTAGGGAATTAAGAGAGCTTCACTTGAAGGGAGAAAAAGGGATATCTTAAAGGAGAAGTAAAGAGCTATTTATTTTTAAGAGCACTCAAGAGGTAACCCCATGGAACAAAAAGTTGGTTTCAGAGCATGTGTTTAAAAGGAATAGTAACTAGACTAGGAAAAACAAAGCCAATGAAAGTAGTGTGGGTCATGAATCTGTGCAATACACTGTAGTGTTTTGGGGAGGAGTGTGAGCTTTGGAGCTTCACTCCTGGGGTTCACATACTGACTGTCCCATCTACCTGGGCAAGTTATTTAACTTCTCTAGCTTCTGTTTTCTCATGTGTAAAATGAAACTAATAGCAGAAGCTATCTTGTGTGATTGTTAAGAGGATTCAATGAGGCAATGCTTTTAAAAGTAGTTTATATAGTGCTTAGTACAATATCAAGAAAGGTGAAGTCTAGCATTATCATTACTATTTAATATGTATTTATCATCACAGAAAATGATATTTTATGTCACACCGGATGATCAATGAATTTCTTTATACCACAACAGAACCTCTTAGAGGTAGAGAGAAGCTTAAGCCACTTTATTATTCAAAGATCCCAGTATGTTAATAAATGAAGACATGACAAACTAGGATTATCAAATTCCTATATATTATAAATGTTTGCATATGTAAAGGTAATACTTTTAATGTGGAAAAGTACAATGCAGTATAATTGGACTAGTCAGATGATAATTAGAGGTTTTATGAAAAATACTAATTCATAGTCCACTTTAAGATTGTGTGATAAACATTCTCTTTTAATCCTGTTAGTACACCTCTAAGATAGTATATAATCTGTTTTGAACCATCCAAAGTTTCAGTTTGAGACCTTTTGTGATTCCTCCCTTTTTCCCCAGTTGTGTTCCCTGTGTATGTAGTGATACATAGTGGGGCTGTTTCACGAGTCTGGAAGGCTACCAAAGGTACTGTTTAATACCTTGACATAATACTTATTTGAAAATATGAGTTGCAGTGATACTATTGAATTTAGTTCCCTTTATTCCCTTTACTAAAGGATACATTAAAACAGCTCTGAATCAAAATACCACAACATGTACCATTACATGTAAAATAAAACAACTTAATAGCATCTATTATTTATAGACTACCTGCTGTATATTAGGATTTTAGATATATAAATCACATAATTCTCTAAATAAGATAAAGAAGTTGAGGTTTAGAGTGTTCCTATGGCTACCGAAAGGTGATAAAGAGTGAAGCTTCAAATTCACATCTTGGCCCCCCATCATGCCGAGTGACTCAGGAACTGTCCTTACCACTTTGTCTCAATATATGCCTCATAGCCCTATGGTGGCAGTCATGAGTGTGGCTGTGCCATCTGAGCAAGAGCTCTTAGCACTAGGAAAAAATGAAGTCTCTGCTTGTGGCATATGGTGCATAAAAAGAGCTTTGAAATTTAGAGACTAAGTATCCTGCTCTTGATAGTGTAGGAGAGTCCTTTATGGAAGATCATTTTAGACTGCGGAATAGGGCTATTGAAGTGCAGACAATGATCAGAATGTCTTATTCTTTAATCTCAATGCTGAGCATTTTCCTCTGCTCAGCTTTGATAAAACTTGCTACGTAGAACCAGGTGTTATTTCTGCTTAAGGATTTGTATTCTCTTTTAAGTAGCTGTAGTTGATAGATTATTAACTTCCTGAGGTTTATCTTTGGATATTGATCTTTATTAGATATGAGGTTATTATAAGAGTAGGGAGAAAAACAAGCAAAAAATTCAAATATTGCTATTGACATCTTGATGGAATGGGTTGAGATCAATTTTTATAGCTGATTTTGAAAAGACATGCATAATTTTCAAGCCAATAAAAGTTCATATACTGCTAAACATTTTCATGCATTTTACTGACTAAACAACTGTGGCTGATGAGTTAGATTTTTTTTTATTACTTAGCTATTATGAAATGAATTTATCAATAATATGGAATGGAGCAAAGTTAGCTCTTGCCTTGGTTTTAACCTCTTCAGTTTGCAGAATAAGTATCAGAATATTGTAATAATCCTGATAAGGGTACTATTAATGTAGAGGCAATATTCATTAGGGTACATATAGCTACAATGATGTCTTCCCAAAGAACTATGACCAAATATACTTCCATTTATTTGAAGCTTATTTGGTAATTTACCTATGAATGCATAGAGAATTATGCAGGTACATTCAGCCCTCCGCATCTGTGGGTTCTGCATCTGTGTATTCAACCAATTGTGTATCAAAAATATATACTTTTTAATTCCAGAAAATGTTATATTATTGCTAAGTTACACTGTGTAGTTAGGTCTGCAGTGGTTGCATCTCTATGGAACATGTACAGACTTTTATTTTCTTGTCTTCATTTCCTTAACAATTCAGTATAACAAGTGTTTACATAGCATTTACATTGTATTAGCTATTATAAATAATGAGATTGCTTAAAGTATATGGGGGATGTGTGTAGATTATATGTAAATACTATATCACTTTAGGGACTTGAGCATCCTCACATTTTGTTATCTGTGGAGGATCCTAGAACAAATTCCTCATGACACTGATATAAAACTACTATAAATATTAAATTTAGGGCTAGTTTTTAAGGAAAGATAAAGATACATTATTGAATACTTACTGTGTGCTATATACTCTGCTGAGTAGATTGTACAGATTATTGCAAATACAACAAATTTACAAGGTAGGCAATATCATTCGCACTATACAATTGAAAAACACAATATTCAGAGATGTTAATTTGTCCAAGGCCTCACAGCTAGTTAGTGGCAGAGCTGAGATGTAAATCAGCCTTCTGTGAATGTGAAATATATGCCGTTTCCACCAAAGGATATTGGTAAGGACATGACATTACACACACAGAGACTGTACAGTGTAGTAGTTAAGAGCATCAATTCTGGAATCAGACTATTCTGGCTCAAATACTAGATCTGCACCTCCTTGGCTGTAGGAACTAATACACGGCAATCTTTATTCCTCTGAACTCACCCTTGCCTTTGGGAAGCATTTAGTCTCTCTCTACCCCAGTTTCCTCATATGTAGAATGAGAATGACAATACTGACGACATGACACATTCAGGACTCTTCTTGAAGACTGAGTAACTTAATATTTACAAAGTGTTTAGAACATTGCCTAGCGTATGAAAAGCTGTAAATTCAAGTATATATTATAATTCTAGAAAAATAATACTGTGTGTCAAGTATATATTCTATATTTTATTAAAATAATTATTTTCAGTGCCTTGTGCTATAAGTGATTTGAACATTTGCCATTTTAATCTTAGTTTTTAAAAGGGTGAATCAATTCTATTTAAGATACTTACAAAATACAAGTAAATTAGCACAGATTAGCCATGCTCTTTTAAGTATTTCCTCCTGTAAAGACCCTGGATTAGAAGATTCAATAGGTAAAATGAACAGATTACTATTATTTCTGTTCCTTCCTGCAATATCAGCTACAGAGATATGTGACGTATAGGCTTACCTCCTAATGAAACAAGCTTCCTTGCTTTTATTTATGCACTTTGAAGGGTCTAAATGGTCAGCAAACAATGGGGCTTTGCCAGCATAAATATGTAGTTACTTTGTAATTGGCAAAGCTAGATTACACTCCAGAAATACTCCTGTAATTTGGAAGTCATGTAGCAATGGTGGGTTCTATTTTTACTTAGACTGGGAGGAAGCGTTCTTAACTATCTCTGTTCACATCAACTGCATGTGTATACTTTTACAAACATCTACAAATTTTGTTTTGCTGTGCACATTCATTATTTGTAAAGCCCAATACCTGCCAGCTATTCCTATTTGTGAAATCTGCAGTGTTTGAATTTTGACTTTGAAACTGATCTATAAAGGAAGGAAAAATGCTTTTTAGGAAAGTAATTTCTGATAGACAAAGCTTGAGCCTCCTGGCTGGGTTTCTTATTTTGTTCATTGATTTGTTAGTCAATTGGTAAGGGCGTATTTGAAACCAGCTATGTGTCCAGCACTTTACTAAATTAATACAGTACATGAGACATTATTTCTGTACACATGAGCTTAAGAGAAATCAGTAGTTGGA